GATGGAGCGAACCTAAATACAGTTTTTATACTGTCCTAATTCATGTAAATATAAAATCATGTTGGTCCTATAATAGGCATTGATTGTTTGTTTGTGGGGGAAGGGATGGTTTCATTTATGTATGTATTTTTAGGGAAAACTTAAGTTAGATACAGACACAAAAATAACCAAGAAGTGTATTCATTTGGTGTGATAAAGGAAACATATTGTTGTAATATTTAATTGTAATTGACATTTTGCACAATTTTGTTTACCGTATTTGCTATGGTCCAGGCTGGAAAATGATTAAAAGGAAATAAAAAGAAGTTATTTCAACGCCCTGTAGTGATTATTCTTTTTTAAAGTACGTTTTATTGCATATAAAAATTATGAATTTGCGGAAATGCACAATATTAACTCATACAATATTGCATGTTGTATACAATGTCGACGACAGACCACTCTTCTAAAACTCCATTCCGTAGGGTACTAATTAACAAACAAAGATCTCTTGTGCTTGTTTTATCGAAACTGGATTATTATCTGAATTCCACATTAGGCTTGAGGGTGGATCACAAATGCGCTCTTTTGACAGAGTTTAGAGCTGTGAGCAATGCAGGTTATGGTTTAGCATGTGTGTTTGTGTCGGTGGAACGCTTGACAAAGCCAAATGAGTATAGCTCCAAAATATTTCTCTCTTGGGCTATGTGCTCGGTATGTCTGTTGTATGTTTGGAACCATTGATGCTCTCCTACAAACATCTGATTATTGATTCATAGTGTTGAAAGCTATGTGCGTTTCAAATATGCACACGATATACTTGTCCCATTACACACGTTTCGATTTCATATTGAGTTTTTTTTTTGGAACTTTCGTAATATACCTAGTTTATTTGACAAGCAACCAACTTGAAAATGTACAGCTACAACAAACATATAGGTATGTAAAAGAAAACACCTTGGATAATCAATCAGTAAACGTCGGATCAACAAAATAATGTCCGTTTTTATTAGAGCAATTTTGCATGACCAAATTAAATTAGTCCCTACATTTTTTAAACTGTTACCCAAGGAAATACAATTATAGAAATTAAGGAGATTATAAATGGTTAATCATAAATTAAACTAAAATATATGAATCAATGTGATTATTAGGCCTACTTTATTCAAGATCCTCAAGATTAGTTTTTCTAATTTTCTCATTATTTTTCTGTTCTTTAATTTCGTACTGATTAATCATAATTGGATGTGTAGTTGTAGTTTTTACATATTTGTTAATTACATCCGTAGAGTTTCAGGTTTGTAGCATTTTGAATGGGTCTGAAAAATTAATTTATAAATTCTAACCTCTTAGTGGAAAATCCGGTATATCAAGATATTTTTATTTCGATTGTGCGTAGCAATAATATCCATTCAAATATTCTCTTTCTGAAAGTAATATTTGACACTTCCGTGCAAATAACGACAGCGTAAAAAGTAAAACGGAAGAATCATAATGGCGAAATATAAAGGAAGATTCATTGAATGTAGAATGGCAAGAGACCACTTGTTTTTGCTCAGCTTTAAGCCGACCTTTCCCTAATTTAGATCACAATATGGAAATATGTACCGAGATAAGAAGCCCTAGACCCTTTCCATATAACACTGGACCAGGACCGTTGCTTATATAAATTGCTTGTGGTTTTTTACTCTTCATTATTTTTTTCATATATGTGTCTTATAAAATGTATAACTTGGAATTCAAAATCACAAATTCAAAGTCCATGTGCATTTTAAATCCCATTCCTTTTTTAGTGTTAATAAAATATGTTAATGTGTTTAACGTTTACCATTTCAAGAATTAAAACTTTATAAACGTACACTTATCGTAGCTAAGATAAATTTGAACGTATTTATTAATATACTTCATAAAATAATAGGTCGGGTGAACAATCCAAATCAAATATTGTTAATAGTGATTAATCATAAATAGTGAAACGCTATTTTTAATAGTGCATCAAGCAAAAGCTTTAAAAACGTACACTTATCATAGCTAAGATAAATTTGAACGTATTTATTAATATACTTCATAAAATAATAGGTCGGGTGAACAATCCAAATCAAATATTGTTAATAGTGATTAATCATAAATAGTGAAACGCTATTTTTAATAGTGTATAAAAGAGTCTTTATACATAATTTCGCTAAATGAAATACATAATAGAAAACGGTAAAGATATAATCAGAATTGGAGAAAGTTAAATTAATTGGTCTAAACGGTTACTCAAACAAACGAATTTCAAAATAATAAGAAACGTCTATAAAAATATTACAAATTAAGGTTTAAAAAGACCATACCGTATAAGTATATTTTACAATGAAAGAAAAAGGATTTCCTGAGTCGCAAAGACTTAAGGAATTTTGAGTAAAATCGTCTCTATTCTATTAGGCTGTACTATGGTGATAGAATCTAATATACTATTTCTTAGAATAACTAAACGTAGGTTACCTTTATATGCCTACTTTTTATTTTAAGTCCTACAAATCTAATATCATTTGGCAAGATGTCTACTAGCTTGGTTGGCAACTTATAAAATTTATGAGACATTTAAAACTACAATGGAATATGATATAAAAAAATTAAAAAAAAAATGGTATGAAAAAATTATTAAATGTAGTCTTTATTTCAGTTTAAATATTTATGAGATTAGCATTCATATAAACCTAAAATACCCCCGCCGTAGCAAATCTGCAGACTAAGCCAATAACCATCTACCTGGCTAGATTTCCACTCAAATAATTCCAAAAATTGTCAGATTTATTATCTATATCAATTACATTAATTTTAATCAGTACTAAGGTTTGCTGTTACAAGAAAGTTAATGAGGTGGAGTTTTTTTACATTTATGGCTTGGTGTGAAATATTCAATAAACAAATACAGATGATTTGTTATTGTATTTGTATAAAATTGCAACGTGACTATGACCTTAGTGTAGAAACTAGTCGTTGATTATCAAAATGAGTTTAAAGGGTACTAGTGTTTTTATAATTTTTTTCAAATGTATATATATACATTTGAACAAAAAGTGATTTTGGCCTCTGCGAAAATCAAAATGAAAAAGAAAATCGGTCCCAGGCCTAGGTCTTACCGTGCCACCCTACGGTAATAGCTACTTCCCAATAGGGAAATTCGCAAAAAAAGAAAATCGGTCCTGGGTCCATGTCTTACCATGAGGCCTACAGTAATAGCTTATTCCCTGTATGGGAATTTCCCTCAACAAAGGTTACAGGTAAAAAATATACATTTTTATTTCTATCTCATAAAATCTCCATATCAATGTTTAATAATTCACAACTCTCTACAATTTACTTGTAAATCCACCAGGCTATTTACGAGTAAAGTTTTTCTGCGATTCCAATGGAAATATGAAGTGTTTTTTACTTACGGAATCTATTTAAATAACGTGCAGATAAGGGCGCTGCGTCCGAACAGGCCTGCCGTAAAGTTTGGGAATAATCCTGCCCCCTACTAAAACATACCGGCTTCGGCAAAATGGCTTGGGCACAAAACACTGTTTAAATGTAAATTGAGTTTGTTGATGAGAAGGGAGTTGTTAAAAATTTTAACTACTGCTGTATTGCGTCCAGGGATTTGCTTAAAATATTCTGGTGTAAAAATGTAAACAATTCAAATAGTCATAATATTTCTTTTAAGAGTAAAAATTTTGAGTTTTTCGTATGAGGTTTTCATATTATATTTCGTGTAGGGTTTTTTTAAAGGGTTTTGTTTCAAAAATAATTTCCTACAGTGTTAGATAGGTTACGGATTAATCAAATGAAGACGAACTTAATTATGTTTCATTACAAATAAATGTTTTTTACAAATGCGTTACACTCCTGGTCACTCACCTGCATAGCCAAATATAATCACTCAAAAGACACATAATTGATACTAAGCTTTAACCACATTAAATTTTACCAACTTATGAATTTGTCAAACTATTAACGAATACCTAGTTTTCACATTTTATTTAAGATCAATCTCAACCAGGTTATTTAATTAAAACCTGGCATTAACCTTACAGGACATTTTAGTGTTCTTTGACATTAATCGATACTTGTGAGGGCTATGATCACCTGAATGTTGTAAATTTAGAAATCAGATGGACGTGAGTGTTTTGAATAATATATATATATATATTTTTATCTAGGTTTCTTATAAAAGTTCCATTTCTGCGTAAACAATAATTTTATTTACAAACGCCATTCTGGATTCAGCCTATCCTAAGAATAAACCCCTCTTCTAATTCGTTTAGTTCATCAAACATATTGTTCGATGTTACCCATAAAGTTAGTTTAAAATCCTCTAAAGAATTAATTGTTTAGAGTAACAAACAAGTTACTTAAAGAGTTTTATGTTTTTTTTATATTTTTTTTTCAATGTTTACTTTTTATGAAATTTTTATAGCACATGATTTCTTACTTAAAAAATATACATATTTCTAATTACTAACCTAGAAAAGTATAAAAAATATATTTTCCATAACATTGCAGTGACGTTTTAAAGGTAAAACTCATAGACCCTTGGAGGCTTTTCTTATCGATTTCCGCAACTTTACTTTTTAGAGCCTTAATGTAATTTTTTTCAGGACTGGTAATACATACAGCTGTAAAATTTTTACCATGTAGTCTTAGTGACTAATTCTAAACACAGACATACGGATTTCCTTATATCTTTAGTAGGAGCCTGTAGAAAAAACATTATTTATTTATGAAATTACTATTTTTAGAATCTATAAAAAACCATAAAATAAATATTTTTTATTTTTATAAATGAAAAAATGAAATCTTGTGTCTGTGACTAGTTTATTAGGTAATATAAAAGTATACCAAGTTTCACTATCCTACCTGTTCTAACTCCTGAGAAAAGTGACATTTAGTTAACATTACTAAAGATAGGAACTCGGACTCCCCCTAAAAGTGTTGCAGATAATTTATTGAAGTTATTGTTCTTACTATCATAGTTTTTTTGTTGTTTTCAGGCTGTGCTTTCCTGACGTACTTTAGTAGGGACAGCGCCGCCTTGGCTCAACACGCGCTACATGAAAAACGGACATTACCAGGGGTAAGTGATTATTTTATAGTTTAAACTGTGTACATGGGTGATGAAATTCATTATACAGGGTAGTAAAAAAGTCCCTGGACAGTTGAATATTTTAAAAAAATAATGAAGATAGAGCTACAATACTTGGTACAAAGTTACAAGGCATAAAACTCTATTTTAACACATATTCAGTGATCCAATAACTCTTCAGGAGGACGGCCCACAAGGAGTCGGAAGAAAATCTTAAATAGAAGCATAGGTCAATATGCACATCAAATTAAAGGTCTTTTTTAGTAGAATACAATGCCGCAAACCGCACTTCAAAAGGTTGATCCAGCGCAAAATGGCAGATGTTCAAAGATTTCTTGAATCCGCCATTTTGAATCTTTGAACGACTGCCATTTTTTACTCAGGCATTTTTTTGAGCTTGAATTTACGGCATCGTAATCTACAAGTGAAGACCTTTAATTTGATGTGCATATCGACCTATTTTACTATTTTACTAAAAAAGACCTTTAATTTGATGTGCATATTGACCTATGCTTCCATTTAAGATTTTCTTCCGACTCCTTGTGGGCCGTCCCCCTGAAGAGTTATTGGATCACTGAATATGTGTTAAAATAGAGTTTTATGCCCTGTAACTTTGTACCAAGTATTGTAGCTCTATCTTCATTATTTTTTAAAATATTTAACTGTCCAGGGACTTTTTTACCACCCTGTATATCCAATTTACAGATTACTAATATGGTGTTATGTAACAGATCATAAGAGGTTGGTGGACACTTTTTACTTTTCATTTTCCGTCCGTATTAGCCTCATGTTTGAGCGTGGAGTATATAAAGTACAACAATGATACTACAGTAAGGTCCACGAGAGTCTGCAGTTGAGGGAGGAACCTTTTAACCACGTGACTTCGAAGGAGCCAATGAGGACTGCGCGTTGTTGCCAAATCTAATAAAACCAGCTGATTTGAAAACATAGCTTAGTATATTTTAATTAGGCTTGTCAACAGGTGATATAGCAACGTCGCAATATCCCTGTCTTGTTATTGGCTGACGCCAACTGCAGACTCTCGTGGACCCTAATAAGATGTCATCCTTCCTAAAAAAAAGTAAGCACGGAACCAGTGATTGGACCAACGACATCGATACAATTTTTCAAAGCGACGGACTACTGACTCATCTAAATTTTAATAGTAAAATTTATTTCGTGTAGCAACTTTATTGAGCCATCATTTGGTAACGCAGAAACTATCATACAACTTGATAATGGGAACCATGCCTTAATTTTATTTTCATGAAATTGCGTGGTTAAATTTTCAAACATAGTGGTCAATTATAACACTTCTTACATACGGAAAACTTAAGTGATCCCGTAAACAAAGGTTTGGCAAGAATAAACATAATTGCAAATGTTACTTTGAATGTGTTTTTTTTTCATAGAAATTAAACATGTTTTACCTATCCAAGTGAGGGATTTAATGACATAAAAAGTTAGGTCATGTTTCCAATGTATTTTTTCTAAATTTTATATTCTTTGGGTTTACCATTGTTGGCACATCTTATTTGTTCACTCTGTTTCTTGAATCTATAATTTAAAATATCAAACCTGTACCATATTTAATTCAAGCTTGCGGGTAACTTTATATAACATTAAAGTTATAACATAAAAATAATTCATTTCATATTCATTGTCAATGCACTTTGTTAAGAGTAATGGGGTGTTTTAGAACATTGAGTGCTAAAACAACACAGCCAATAAGAGAATTGAAGAGCCTCTAATGACCAATTGAAGTAATAACTTCTAGGATTGTAAACATTTCTAAAAGAGTGCTTTATAAATCAAATTTTAAATTTTCTAAATCAAATAAAAGGTAGTTTGAAAATCCTACTATAACCAACGGGCTTATTACATACAATTAAAAAATCAGACCATTTTAACAAGTTTACTTTTAACATTACTTTTGTATGTTTGTATCCAGAAACCTGGGTTTTTTTTTATATATAATACAGTGTATTTACTCGTTATTTTATCAATACACCTTCTAAATTAAGCTAATCAAATAGCTTAGGCGTATTTGTTAAATACAGTTTTATTTCCCGAACGGAATTACAATTTTGTATGTCAACATTTGTATGGCTCGACAAATAACTTAATTTTCCCTGTATGCTACCCAAATATTTTATCCTTATGTTATATATTACAATTCCACTACTTCAGAATCCTATCCCAATTAAAGGTTTACTCCACAAGTAAAGGAACACAACCCTTGGATTTTTGATAGATAATATTTGTAGCTACAAGGGATGTATCGGTATCAAACAATTAATATTGCCTAAAATTGATTCATCACCAGATATACTTCTACTATAGTGGACTACTATAGAAAACAACTTTTGGATCCTATGTGTAAAGTATTTGTCCTTGAAAGTGTAATGCTTTTTGTAGGTACGGGGAATGTATTCATTATCAAACATGTAAAATCTCCCAAAAAACAATCAGTCACACATCCTAAGCGCGCCTTGCGTTTCTGTTACTAATGAAAGTAGATTCCCTACATACTCAGACCGCCCTCCACACAACCCTCTATAGCCCTGGATCCGTCTTGAGAGAGTGGTAAATTTTAGATTTCCACCTTTAAATAGCATATTTGAGGTGCAATTCTAAGGTTCAGAATAAACCCTTCATTTTACTAATACCATTTTACAAAATCATACTCCATTTTATATTGGAGAACATAGATAGCCTTGTGGTAGAGATAAGTCTAATACTAAAAATAGATTGACATTTATTTTATTCATTTAATAAAAAAAAATAAAAAAAATAACTCATACAATGGCTTGTCTGCAGAAATTATAATACATGATGTCAATTATTTGGTTACGATTTACCATTACTCATTAAAATATGAAAAATAAAGTTAAATACAAATAGTTTTACTTCTCGCAAGTATTTACTACACAAAATTTATGTTATATTTTACATTTACAATAAAAATTAAACAACATTGAATTTCCTATCAAACAAAACATTCACTACCTAAAATCTTGGAAGGAATAGTGTCAAAGTTAAAATTTACTTACTTGAAAATCCATTATAAAGCCTTTAAATGAATTGTACATTATTAAAAATATTGAAAGTATTTCTGTCAATGTTGTAGTTAATAGGGGTCTCTATAAGATGAGAATTTAAAATTTGATTATCTTATATTTTATGGGTTGTGAATAAAACTTCATAAGTGAACTTAAAATTAAGTCGTTCACAGAATTGATAAAGGGACTCTTACCAAACATATAATAACCATAAAACGTCGAAGGTATTGTGGAAATAACGATTGAATATACAATTTAAAATGTTTTACTGAGGTATTTTTCCCAGACCAGCTTGAATATTTCTCCGAATCTCTGCCTCACACAAAAGGCTAGGTATTCAATGGCGTAATCCTAGTTTATGAGCGGGCCCTCCCCTCTTAGCTCTGTCCCCTTATTGCTCCTTACTCAAACTCCCTTCCAACCCCCCCCCCATCCACTTCTCTACCACGAGTTACCACCCTTTGGTACACGTGTGAATAATATATAAAACTATATTTAACATTTTAAATATTCTAAATGACTATTATAATTATAATACATGTTTTCGTGTTTAAAAACTGAACTACTCTACTCATTTTTACCCTATTAGGGTATTTTTTTTTTAATTTTTATACGCGGTAGGTAATGCTGTATAATTTGGTTAGTCAAATTGAAAAAAATAAAACTATCCATGAAATGGAAACAATGTGAGTTTTTTTTATGATTGAATTTACATTTTTCCTCACAGCACCTCATGCTATGGTTGTCTTTAAATAATTGTAGATTTTTAACGATTTTGCTATTGTTCGTTTTCCTAAGCTCCAAAAGAAGTAAATGTTCAGAAGAAATGTTAAATTTAGATTTGAACGAGCGTTTGAATAAAAAAAAAAAATTTAATGTCTTTTAATTTCAACGATAATATTTTTAGAGTTTTTTTTTGTTATATTTCATCTAACCCTAAGACTTATTCATTTATATCACTTAGATTCTGTAGTTACACAGAAAATTATGGTCTCAGATTATAAATCAAGATTGTGATGAAAGTAGTACATAATTAATACTTATTAACTACCAAGCTCAAGGAAATCTTGTTTCAATAAATCGGATGCAACATTACCCAATCAACCAGTGTTCTATAAAATCACATTCTGTACCTACGCAAATGAAATCAATGCAAGGTAAATTTAAACGTAGTGCATATCGAAACAGTATTGTATTTTATAGTATAATCTTGGCGAATATTAAAACTGTATTTTGCGATTTAATATGGATATTTCCTCCATATTATTATCTTAAAATTTTCCTTAAAATTTTAAATTGTAATTCATTATTGAATAATTAACTTAAATAAAATGTGACGGCAAAAATACACTCAAGAAAAGCATGCTCACCTAGATTTGCAGCATAGAGTCAGTTATTGATAAGATATTGTTGGAAATGTATCTCGGGGGTTACAGCCATAACTCCAGTGGTGATAGTGCTGTGACGACTATCTCTTCTGATATCGCTTTGCGAAGGTTATAGCAGCCCTAACTCTTATCTCCTTCCTCCCTTTGAGATACAATGTTCCTTGGATAACAGTTTCTCTCCTTGCTTTACGAATCTAAGATGCAATATCAGTTGCCAATGCGATTTGTGATCCTCGAGAATAGGCCCTGGGTTATTTTCAAAAGTTTGGTGGGAGTCAATATTTTCAAATGTATTTTATGAACTGGGTGTGTTGCTAGGGGTTAGCATCTTGGGCTTCAGTGAGAGGTGGGTTCGATTCCCGGCACACCACAAAAGATATGGGTTTGGACAGCTTTCCTAAGCGTTTGTGAATCTCTTCTACAACTCCTTGATAAACGCGACAGGTTAAGACAAAAAGAGGTGTCACGACGGAATTATGGTTTTCTCTTAAAATGTATTTTTACATTTATTTACTTTTGGATAAACTCAGCTGATACTTTC